GTTTCCCAGCTCTTAGGTCTGTGGTCGCTGGTCCCGCTTCTCGTGGCCGCTTTAGCCTTTCGGTGTTTTTAAGAAGCTCGACTCAATTAGTGATTTTAACGTCCTCGATTTACCTAGCTGAGCGAGGCTGGAGAGCACCTGACGTATAGGCAGGTTTGACTAGGGGAGACTTAGCCGTGAATTGTAACTGTAACTGATATTACAGTTCGCCCCCTGCAGCCCTGAAATTCTTGGGATAGTTGGAAATAGATTAACCAGGGTCCGAGAAGGCTATTACACCGTTACTGGTCGTTCCCTGCTCTTCGTACGCGTAGCAGCACAGATTTTGGCAATGTATGCCTGAGATGCCGGTGTCGTTAACTCTGCGTGCCCGTTAGCTTGTTTCAATTGCCTGGGAAGGCAGTGCATGCTGTTAGCTCCTACAGGCGGGGCACCAGTTACACAGCTGTCTGAGAGTGTGTTTATAAAGTTACAATCACGTTTTGGTTTTGTTTTTTTCTGTTGGTAACACAATGAGTGCCTGCCACTTGTTGCGGCAATTGAAATTAGTGCAATATGAAGGGAAACATATGATGATTTTGCTGCATTGCCTGTAAATCACATTTCTTAAGATAATAAGTTGCAAAATTATTTATTTTGTCTGCACTTCTCTCTAATGTGATTTATTAGCATTCCAAGATAAACTTAAAAATAGCAGGTTGCAATCTATTTAAGAAAATCATAGTGAGATTCAGTTGCTTTTGGAGTTCTTGTGTGTGCACAGAGGATTATATGACGATTATACGCAGAGGATGGTATTTCTAAAAAGAGATTTTTTTTTTTTAGCGTAGCTAGAAGTTGTAATTTGTATTTTGTTCATCAGTTATACTTGATTGGCAGGCATGCTCAAATGCTTGCTAGTATGTTCGTAGAAAATCTGTAAAAGTAATCCTGACAATTACCATAATAGGGGTTTATTTTCAAGTTTAAATTGTGTATACCTGAACAACAGGAGCAGATTCACTCCTTTTATGAAGTGAAACTAAGGCACGTTTATCATATAACATGTTAAAAATAAGAGCTGAATGCAGTTCACTTTAAATTTCTCAAAATAATTTTTAGTAAATGTGTTACTTAAAACTATTGTGTGCCCAAAAACTGTAATTCAGACAGTAAGAGTTTATGTAAGTCTACAGACTTGACTTTTATCTCCTCTTAGTGGTGCGTTTATCTTGGGTATGCTTTTTCTTTTATAAAGAAAAGATTTGTGACAGCTTAGGTCAAATCTCTGTGTTTTGGTTGTAGTGAGAATCAGAGCTGTTACGTGAGGAGACTCGCAACTGAAATATGCTGTTTTCATAGGCTCTTGAAGCAATAGGCTGTTGGATTTTGATCCCGCCCAGAATACCTGAGTTTTTCTCTGCAAGGATATATAATAGCGGTAAGTTCTAGCAGCAGGCATTTATTTTTGTTACTGTTTTTGCTTTAGCATGATGTACATTTTGCCTTTTGACAGACTAGATGTACCATCTTTTTTATTTTTCAACAGGTTTTGCTTGCCCACATAAGAAAAAAAGGCAATGGAGACTGAACAACAGGAAGAGACCTTTACCAACACAGAGACAAATGGTAAATGTTTTAAAGGACTATTTCTTTTTAGAAAGAACCTCTTTAAAATATTGTTAATAATGTTGTAATGATTTAACTTTACCATGTGTTTGTATCAGCAGTAGTTTTGCATTCTGTATTAAATATTTTTGGTCTTAATTAGACTGTGGCATTACATATTTTTTGAAGCATAAAGACGTAATCTTTCTGTTGGCATCTTTTAGACATGAGATAAGTAACTGAAAGTTATGACTAAGGATTAAAAAGTATTTCAAAGCTGTGTGGAGAATGTGAACATGTAAGAATATCCGCTGTATCCATTTTTTTGTTTATTGCAGTTGGTACATGCAGGAATACCAGTATGAGAAATACTCGAAAGCGCTTCATGCAGAATTTCTTGGGAATAATTACCAAGGAAGCTAGGACATCACTGTTGCTGATATGTGCCAGTTTTTCCCAAACAGTATCTGAAGTGCTACTTTACTGTTATTCCACCAGTATTTTAGTGTTGGACAAACTACATTGTAGCTTTATACCTGAAAGGTTTTCCCCAATTATAAATTATAATTATATATTGTAAATTATAAATAAATATGAAGTAGGTGCTGCTTTAAAAAACGTGTCATGAACTTCTCAACAACATTCTCATTTAAGCCGAAGTTCATAGATCTTTTAAATGCATTTTTAGTAATTAGCCAGTAAGGAAGCTGATGAAGTAAAGACTTGTTTCCATGCTATGGATGCTCAGAACAGGCTTTTGTAATTGGTTTTGGACCAGTATGAAAGAATGTATTAGTAGTGCAGAGCATGAATTTGGCATGTATTCCATTTTATTGCAACTTAGAAAGTTAAATAAGTGTTTATGTTTCCCCCCTATGGACCTCTCTACAGGCAAACGTCCTGCAGAAGATATGGAGGAAGAGCAGGCCTTCAAAAGATCTCGAAACACAGATGAAATGGTTGAACTGCGCATCTTGCTGCAGAGCAAAGTACGCTTTCTTGTTGTTACCATTTTTGCATGTAGCATTGTTCAAGATGATGACAGAGTGTATGTTGCGATAGAAGTTTAGAAAGCATATATGCTTAATTTAAAATGAGATAACTTATTGGAATAACTTTCAATGTGTATGAGTGGTAGTTGCAAGAGTATTGCAATGGAATTGTCCACAGGGGTTCTTTTAAAAAGGTAAGTCCTGAAGATCAATATAGGGGTTTTTTTTAAGGATTTATTTGCTGAAGAAGTAGAGCAACAGAAATCATAAGGTCTGCATTTGAGTAGAATGTTGTTATTTTGAGGGAAATGACTGTCTGTGAGTCTTTGGAAGAGAAGCTGTTTAGGGAATTTTGAGCTAATTATTTAAAATTAAATATGACATATGAAAATGTAGGATTTTAGTAACCTTCCTGAACAGATCTACTGAACTTGTTCAACTGTGTCAGCAGGAAGAAATGTGAGAGTAATACTTCAAGGTTTGCAGGGATTTTGTTGACAAGTGTAAATAGTTAAAAGTTGCTATATATGAGTTTCCTCTGTTGTTTACACTTGCTCCAGGATCACTTGTCATTTCTGAAGTATCTCAGTCTTTTGTGTTGGCATGGAAGAATGTTGCCTTAATTCCATGTGCCATTTCTGACCAACAGTTGATTTACATGGAGTACCATGAAATGTTTTGCATGCTTTTAGCATAAGTATGATCTGTGTAATAAAAGCAATATTTTATATGTAATCCTTGAGAGAACCTGGTAAAAATTTAGTTTTGCAATTACTGTTCTTCACTATGTGCCACTTTATTCCTGATAGCTTGAATGAAGTAGGTGGCTGTTAACATTCACTTTAACCTTTTTCAGAATATAGTGCTCTGAGAAATTAATTGCATTACAGAGGCATAAACCAAAATTAGCCCTTGGAATTATCAAATATTGGGAGCACAAAAGTGAAATTTGCAAAGGTACTTCTTAAAAAAGAAAAAATACAAAATTATCAATTAAATCAAGCAAATCATTGACCTATATTACATTCATATGGTATTTTTTGCAAGGGATACAATCTATGAGATAAGTTTAGCATGGGCAGAATTGCCTAGAAACTTCGTTTGTAATTGAAATATTAGTGGCAAAACTGAGTATTTTTGTTTCTGCTGTTTGGTGGTAGTAAGAGCTTTTAGTCATCATTTTTTTTAAGATGGATAAACTGTATCCGTTTGTTTCAATTTGATTTGAAGCTTTCTAAAGGAGTGCTTGCCTGCCCTCACATCTTGGGCCAGCAGGGTAATGCAAAAATAGATTTACCCTTTTTAGTCTTGAGTTCAAAAATGTAGTCTGTGCTGTGCTGTCATAACTTAACTTCTTGAAAACTATTTTCCAGAATGCTGGAGCTGTGATTGGAAAAGGTGGCAAAAATATTAAAGCACTTCGTACAGATGTGAGTATATATGAGTTTGAACTAATTTAACACCAGTTCTTTCAGAGCACTACATCGAAAGCTTGATTGCGTGCATTTCTAGAAATGGGAGCAGTTCAACTCCGTAGGCATCAATAATCAAGTTACAAGCCATTCGTATTGAGTGTTAGAGTAGATAACTTAGTTCTTCAATTTCTATTGCAATTAAAACCCAGCCTGACTCGTGGGATGAGAGGTTTATATTAAATCTCTTCACTTTTTAATAGGATTCTGCTGAATTACACACTTCAAGCAAGTTAACATCCTAATTAAAAATGTTGACAAAGCTTAAACCCCTTAATAGCACCATTTCCCGTACGTGTGAATCAATTATAGTACTGCTGAAACCACTGCAGGTGGCTGGCTTAACCCAGTGATAGAGGACTTGTCTAACTTCCTTAAAAAGAGCAATATGACATCATCCATCTGTTCCTTAACAGCTTGCACATGAAGAACAAAAACATTAAGGTTTCTTTCTTTAAATATGGGTATAAAACACTAAGGGAAAATTCTGTTCTGTTACTTGGAAGCATTTTTAAATGGTCATGACTTACTGCTCGTTCACACTTTACAGTGGGTTAACTCTTGTGATTAGGCACATGCTGAGCGTTAACGTTGTGTATTTATAAAACTTGGCAACTCTTCTTAAATTCCATTTGTACCTCCTGTTCTTAACATCAACTGCAATTTCAACAATTTTTCCTATCAAGACTCTGTTCAACATAAGATTTGGCAACTTATCATTACAAATCAGTTTCAACTAAGTTCAGCAACTACCGCAACTGAATTGAGGTTTTAGTTGAAATGGTCAGGAATCAGACATATACTCACTAACTTTGGCAGATAGTTGTTCTTTTTTCTTCTCTTTTAGGGTTTTTTATCGGTTTTTTTCTTTCTTTCCTTTTTTTTTTTTTCTCTTGGAGTAAATCAGTGTGTCACCTAAGTCCAGATAATTTAGATTGATCTGGAATACAAACTTTCCCGATTTGCCCAAGGTTCTAGTACTATCAGTCTCGACAGGTTTTGTGTCTACCCTCATGAGCCAGCCTGCTACTGAAACGTCATTTGTTAAAAGTAAAAAGTAGTTTAGTCAGATCAAGTGACTCATTTTTAAGGTCCATACTGTTAAGCCACAGTCGGTGTAGCAATCCGTTATTGTGTTAGTCTTCAGAACAACTTAAGCTTGTTTCATTAATTGAGAGTAATGAGTATAGTTTGTATTAAATTAAAATTTATTGCTTTTCCCCCTTTTCCCTCTCCTTGTTTTTTTGGCCATATATCTCCGTTGCCCATGTACTGGATCGACTTGCCCCTGCGTTGCCCACCATGACGTTGGCCCATCCGCCCCTGAACGCCCATGTGAAAACCCTGGTTGGCTATGCCCAAAAATGTGCTCGTTGCCAAACGGGTACCATACTTGACAACTTCTGATTGAATACCCATGCCCAATGCCAACATCCACGAACGCCAATGACCAATGCAGTACAATGCCAGTGTTTCAGTCCCAGACAGCAGTGGCCCCGAGCGGTATGTCCCAACAGTTTATGCCTCACTGCCTGATTAGAAAGAGAGAAATGTATTTTATTACCTGCCTTTGATATAATTAAATAGTATCCCCTTATAGACGGTGTATTGTTTTTTTTCAAGTTTTCTGTCTTATTTTCCCCATTAAGTCTTTTTGTCACTGAACTTTTACGTGAGTTGCCCACCCAAACAATCCACTAATTTTATTTCAATGGAAGGAGCACAGCTTCAAGTGTTGCATATTTGCTGCATTGTAAATCAAATTGGTTCAAAATAGTCTTTCGCTCTGTCTTTGTGGCCCACCTTGCTCCCCTCAACATTGCCTGTTCATAATTATTTCTGATGAAATGCTAATTCCGGTTCGCTTTCCTTCACTTCTCATTTGTTTTGTCTTTTTTGTCCTGCATTCGTATTTGTTTTCTTGGAGAGCCCATTAGTAATCTGATTTCATAACCTTATTCCAGATACAACGTTCACCACTTGCATATCCTCCCTTTTAATATGAGAAGGTGTGCCAGCATAATGTAATAGTGAAGGTATCCTGATTAGTGGTGGCGGGGAACATGAGTATTCACTTCTACTTTCAGTTCTGCATCAATTTCTTGCCCACTTAATCTGAGCCCTTCCAAAAGCCCATTCTGTCTTTCTCTCTCTGCAAGACCTACCTAATCTTAAATTTCTCATGCGTATATACTGGGCATAAACAAAGATGCATGTGTTATAAATTGAGCAAACAGGTTTACTTAAAACGGGGAGTCTTAATTGTAAACTCTTCTTTGTAGTGTATCTTGTTAAAATTTTGTCTGTGATGATTTAAAAAATTTACTTCTGCTTTTTCTTTTCTACCTACTCCATCTTGTCTGGCATTGTGGCTTTCAACAGCATTTTGAGTATAAGTGCAGATATAGAGACAATTGGAGAAATCTTGAAGAAGATTATCCCTACTTTAGAAGAGGTATGTCTCTTAATATTTTGTTTTAAAGGTAAAAGATTAGCTTTTGAACAAGATGGTTCTGAATGACTTTCTGCTTTTAACATACAGGAAATTAAAAAAATAAATGCCAGAGGCCTTTTAAGGAAGGGTTATGGCTCACACTACATGTTGACGTTTTTTTGGTGGAGGACAATCTGTCACTGTTTATTAAATTAACATTTTGAACAGCCTTCCCCCTTTCAAAAAATTAAGTGTTGCACAGTTCAGTACCTTGTTAAGTCTTTGTTGCAAGTTGTGCAGTATAAGGTAATAAATAATGTAATAAGTAATGTAATAAATAAGGAAAACTGATACTTCAGCTAGAGGAGTGGTGCATAAGTAGTTGTGATCTTATCAAAGGAAATACAGGTTTACAATTCAGCAATAAGTCATACCATTGTTTGAAGAAAAGAAACTTAAAATGCCAAGTATTTAAAACTTATTTCTATTTTATTTTTTCTCTATATGCATCTTTCATACAGTATCAACACTACAAAGGCAGCGACTTTGACTGTGAATTAAGACTTCTCATTCACCAGAGTTTGGCAGGAGGAATTATTGGTGTCAAGGGTGCTAAAATTAAAGAACTCAGAGAGGTACTTGCTTCCTGCTCTTAGATTTGTCTTTTGTTTAATAAATCATGTTTTCTGTTCATAAGAGGCCAGTGTAAGTATCTTCTGTGCAGTAATTCCTACTGAACATACTGTGTACGTGCTTCTGATGTTCTGAGATGGAGCTGTACGTTGCAACTTCCTTGCAGACCCTCAGAAGGAGTAGTGGTGACAGAGCCTAGGACTTGATTATACAATATATGTGGTAGAATACTGTTTTTAAAGGGAGGATTTTTACTCTGTTTTATTAAAATTTTATTCATCACTCCTTTTAGAATGAACTTCTGCATAGTCTAGAATTATTTGTGTCATTGGACATAAAAAATGGTCTAGGGCGAAAGCATCTCCATGGTAGATGTCTGAATATTACTGTAGAAGAGCTTTATTTTTGGTTTTGTTATTTTTTTTTTAATTATTCTTACTGCTAGAAGACCATTGTTTTCCTTCAGTGAAGGAATAAGATTTAAAAAGGGTAATGGTCTCTGTGAGCTGAAAACACGTTTTCCTTTTTGGCATTGTATCAGAGGCCATTGCAGGTCTGTGCATGGGTTGAGAAAGGCTAGATAACTAGACATAATCCTGGCAACATTGCTCTCTTAGTATCCAGAGCATGTTTTCTTCATTTGAGGGTTAATACAGCCTGTAAGCTCACAATGGCTATATGATCCTTTTTCTAATATTTAATTAAATAACGGTGTAAATTAGTCATAATGGAAATAAAAGAAAATTGAACTTTTTTCCATCTTCATACAAAATTTATGTTACCACTGATCTTTAAAAGATGTCATCTTCAAATTTGTTGTGATAACTCAGAAGCAAGCATGCAATTTTAAGTAGCTTGGAATTTAATTTTATTTTGGATTTTTTTCTTTTAAAATGTTTTAGTGGGTTTATAAAGTTGTTTAAAATATATTTGACAAGCTTGAATTTTTTTCTTCTACAGAACACTCAGACCACCATTAAGCTCTTTCAAGAATGTTGTCCTCATTCTACTGACAGAGTGGTGCTTATTGGTGGAAAACCTGATAGGGTTGTTGAGTGCATCAAGATTATCTTGGATCTTATCTCTGAGGTAATATTTATTAAATTTATTTTATTCTTTCATTGGCATTCATGAATCTTAGATATAAAACAATGTCTTGCAGTTTGTTTTGAATTCAGTATGTCCTGCTTTCCCAAGAGCAAAGTGATCGTCAGGAACTTTTGAAACTGTTTCTATTGTTTAAAATTGGGGTGCACCTTATGGGGGAGGAAAGCAATTTTTGGTACTAGTGGGCTGTTATTCATGCTTTGCATATCATTAAAATGAAAAAATTGAAGAGGAAGGAAGACAAAGTTTATAAGCTATGGATAAGTAACAGTAGTTTCTCTGTCACACATCAGCATTTTCTTTCTTAGTAACCTTGTAAAATCAAAACCATATTCCAAATGCATGAATTCATACTTACATATTTGCTGTATTAATTAAGTATGCCAGTTGTAATTGTCCTAATTGATTTGGGGGGATTGTTTTGTTTGTTTGTATTAGTCTCCAATTAAAGGACGGGCCCAGCCTTATGATCCCAATTTCTATGATGAAACATATGACTACGGTGGCTTCACAATGATGTTTGATGATAGAAGGGGACGTCCAGTGGGCTTTCCGATGCGTGGAAGGGGAGGCTTTGATCGAATGCCTCCTGGTCGTGGTGGACGACCTATGCCTCCCTCGAGAAGAGATTATGATGATATGAGCCCTCGCAGAGGACCTCCACCACCTCCACCGGGTCGTGGTGGTAGAGGTGGCAGCAGAGCTCGTAATCTTCCTCTTCCTCCTCCACCGCCTCCTCGTGGCGGGTGAGTTGTTGCATAAATGCATTATACAAAAACTGATGTTGTATGTATTTTCCTGAATCATATTCATATTTCCGGTGTTTTTTCCATGCTTCCACGTTGTTAGTGATTATGCAGGATTGAATGTGTATTAGACAAGAGTATTTTGAAAAGTACTGCAGTTTAATTACCTACTGCACCATAGTAAGTTGCCAGGATTGTAGCTGGTACTTCTGTAACTTCTGTCATTCAGTACTTGGTTAGCGTAGTTTGATGTGAACCATCAGTGTGAAAATTTAGATTAGAATAAACAAGCTGGTTCATAATACAGATAACGTAATTAACGTGCTGCTGCTTTTTTCATTTTAGAGATCTGATGTCCTATGACCGAAGGGGCAGACCAGGAGATCGCTATGATGGCATGGTATGAGTTTAAAATTGGCCTTGTTCTGTTCTGTAACCACAGCTAGCGTGCTGTCTGAAGATATTGTTGATGAACATATGCTCCTCAATGTGAATATGCATGGTTCTGATGGTAAAATCAAAATGTTTTGTCCATACAAATAGTCCTCCTGTGGAGGAGTATATGGGGTGTAAGTGGTATTCAAGACCTATTTTCTTTTGTTTCCTTTCTGCCATCAAAAATGATACAGAAAGTTTGACTGTGCTAACCCCTGCAGGTTTTTTTGCACTGGCCGTCTTTCAGGTTTTTTAATCAGGATGACAGAAATAGAATTAGGAGATTTTGGAAGTAGAATTAGGAGATTTTTCAACTACAGAAAACATGTCAGAACAATGAGTTATACAAACATTCTTAACACTAAATGTTAGAAAACATGAGCATAGATACTATAATGCAGATTAGAGAATGTTATCTGAGAAGAGCTGTAGTTGATCTGGAAGGTGATTGCTCTTTTGAATCAATTCTTGTCTGTTTTCTGGTAATTCCAGATGTCTTGGAGGTAGGACCACTGCTGAGTTGCATCCTAAATTAATACTTGCTGAGAGAGAAAATAATCTCTCATATTATATGGAGATTCAAAGCAAGGGATTACAGATAATCTTCTATGTTGCTTCTGAACTGTGACTTCCCAGCACTTATCTGCTGTTTTGAGGAAGGATTCCTCTTTCCTCAGAAGAAAAACTGGGAGGTTATCCTGGTTTTAGTTGGGATAGTTACTTTCTTCTCGTAGCTGGTACGTTGCTGTGTTTCAAATTCAGTATGAGAATAATGTTGGTAATACACTGGTGTTTTAGTTGTTCCTAAGTAGTGTTTATGCTAAGTCAAGGACTTGTTCAATCCCTCATGCTTTGCCGGTGAGTATGTACACAAAAAGCCGGGAGGGAGCATGGCCAGGACAGGTGACCTGAACTGGCCAAAGAGGTCTGGCAGTGGTCATTGGGTGGTGAGCAGTTGTATTGTGTGCTACTAGGTTTTTTTTATCTTGGGGTTTGGCTCCCCTTTAGATTATTATTTACTGTTATTGTTATCTCCTACCTTGTTTCAATTAGTAAATTGTTGTTATAGTTTTGATTCACTCCCCAGTTCCTCGGTGATGAGGGTTGGGTGGGTGGTGTGAGCAAGAGGCTTTGTGGTGTTAGTTGCCAGCTGGGCTTAAACCACAACAGAGTGAATCTCTGTAGTAAAAAACCTTCTCTTCTCCTTGGACTTTGTCTGACACCTTCTTTAAGATGACAGGTGACATAATATGATTTTTTTTTTCTTTTAAATGAAGCTAAGAAGTGGAAAAGAGCTTTGAAAAGAGCTACCTAAATGTGCTTTTACACATGTCCTGCCTGGGAGTAAGAGTACTGGAACTAAAAATTGCAACAATGTCATGTGCTTACTAGAAACAATGAAAGATTTCCACACAGTTACAAAAAAAAAAAAAGTGTTACCCCTGCTACATGTTAAGAAACAGGAAGAATTGGTTGGAAGAATCAGGTTTTGTGTTCTTTTGTTTGCAGCTAATAAAGCCAGTGCTAGAGTACATAAACTGAGCAGCCTGTCCATCTTCAGGCATCTGGTTAAACACAATCTTACTTAGCTAGACTCTGGGGCAGTGGTGTGTTCTATTTTTATTCCATTCCAGCTAGAATAGAAAATCCATTTTGACCTAGGTTTAACCTGTCAGATTAACCTTCACTTTGTTGATGTGAGTTTCTACAAGCAAGTGGAGTAATTTCAGTTAGGGTTTTTTTGTGCAAAAAAAGCACTTTTATTTGCTTTTCATAGTGAAGCTGCTTGTGACTTTGACTCCTTTATGACCAAGTATCATAGCCTAGTTAAAGGGAGCACTGCTTCCCAGCAAAGATTGTATTTAATTTCCAGTTTTAGTTAATCATGACTCTAGTATCCTAAACTGTGGAAGCAGAAAGGAGGTCTTCAGGTTGATTGTTAAGCTGCAGCTGCAAGTGTCGTGCCAGAAATGTAAGGTTTTCCTGTGCTACCCTTTGTTTCATATAGCAACCGTTCTCTAGCTAAAGTTTTAAACTAGAGTAAATCAATGTTGTTGTGATTTGTGATCTAAGTAATGATGGGAAAAGCTGCTCTTAGAGAGCAAAAGTGCTATTTCACATGGATCCTATTTTACATAGATGCAATAAAAGGTAAGAATAGAGGAACATCTCAAAAGTCCTATAGCAATTGAATGTACAGAAACTTTTTTTGCCAGTTCTCTTTTCCATAAAGGCAGAAAGATTGAATGGTTGATGACTCGTCAGGTGGATTGTGAGTCCAGTTTAAGACTGGATGCTGAGCTGTGAGTGTTCTGGAATTTCAGAAAGATAACAGGATTGACTGTGTTTTAAAGATTGAGATGAGAAAAAACAATTTGCATTTTAAAAGATAGGTTAATTTCTCTTGCCAACGTAGAGTCACTCACTTAAGATGATGTCTGTTAGCCTGACTTACAGTTGTAATATAATTATGCACTACTGTTAAAAACGTTCATTTGGCTTATAGTCTGCTCTGAAGCTTTTTCCCAAAGTACAGATTTGTACTGTTTCTCTGCAAATGGAACTATATGTTTCAGTGTGTAGGTACTCCAGATCAAATGCCTGTGGACCATAAGGGCTGTTGTCAGCTGAAAAATACTAAATTTCCTATATTTCTTTTTTAACACATTCATTCTTTGTGGTGTCTCAGATACAGAAATGCACTCAGATACCACTTGGATGGGTAGAAAATAGTGAACAAGCACGTGAAGTCCATTTATCTCAGTTACTACAATGTTCAAAGTACTAAAAATTTTAAAATCTGAGTTAATGTAGATTTAAATCAGAATGTCTCCTGTTAAGTGGACTGTCTCTTCACACTGTTGTGAGTGTCTTCGGACTTGTGATGTGCTTTTGCTCCTTCAAATGCTTCCTGGTTCTTGATTTTTTTTTTTTTTTAAACTTATATATATATATGTGTCTTGATGTATAAACACTTGAATAAAGACACATAAGTTTTAGAAAATATGAAACAATTCCCAGGTTTAAGAGATGTGACATTAACAGACATGTAAAAAATTAGTAAAGGAAGAATGTATGCCAACTGTACTATTTATTCATGCAGATCCTGGAAGGAAGTAACAAAATTCCACTCTTAGGTCACTCATAAAACCCAGAAAAAGTTAGGACAAAAGAATTTTACATCAGTTAGGACTGCATGCGTTTTCTTTCACTTGATGTAAAAGTGAAGCTCTTTGTGTTACCCAGCCCGTCTTATCATCTGGTTTGTATTCTAGTACTGGTAGTGACCAGCACAAATGAGTCTGCAGCAAAAAATATTTTGTTATTTATGTTAAGACACCCTGTTTCAGAAACTTGTTTTAGAGTGCACAAATGAACATCAATTGCTGAAACTGTAAAATTCTGAAAGAAAGAAATGCTAGATATCATGTTCTAGAAACATAACTAAATTTCTAATATAGTTAGTCAGCAGTAGATTCTTAGTCTGCTTGGCTGTATGAGGTATATGGAAATGAATTGGTAGAACAGGAGAAACAGTGTCCTTCCTGCTTGACCTCTGTTGGCATAATCACTTGGAGTTATTTGTGTCAATCTTACTAAGCCTTCATTTTCCAACAGATGGCAGAAATAAAAGGTTTTTCTAATGCATGGCAAAGTATTTTTATATATAATAGCACTTGAAGGTTTTTTTAAAAGGCAGAAAAAAAGGCTTGTTCAAGCTTTACCTTGCCATTAGCTCTCTGACCTTCTTTGCTAGAGGAGAAATCTGTTAATACAACAGAAAGAAGGTGAAACCATGAGTGTGGCCACTTACAGTTCCCTCAAAATAAAATTAAAAGGGAATGAGTCTTGAGAGTGGTCTAACTCAGAACATTTCAAGTCTTTGCTATGGTGTTAAGGTGTCTTTGTACTAGTATGCATTGTATTTGCTTGCCAAGTTCACTAAAACTCTGTATGACCTGGGCTTCCTTTCTTCCTCCTTTTATGTTGTGTCTGGAAGATGATGCAGTGTCATGTGGATGCTTGTGATGACATGCAGCCACCAGAGTTGGTGAGTGTGTTCAACCTATTTTCTGAAAATTGCTTTGTCGAACAAGTTAAGTGATTGGGTGAATTTCTTAAGAGATCTTGAGTGTAGTCTGTCACAACTTGCATCTATTAAACACTTGATAAAGCTGTTCTTTGGACTCAGAATTTATTGTCAGTCCTAATAGTGTGTCCTTTGACGAGAGGTAATGTTAATAGAAATGTGGAATTGTGCAGTAGCGTGCTTTTCTGCATGCTACTGCATGCAGTACCTCTTTTTTGCCTCTTTTACACCCTTTTTCATTTTGTAAATGGTAACTTTTCCATAACTGTTGCATTGTAGATGCATACACTTAGGATATATATTTTGTGTTAATTTCATAACACAAAATTTTTTTTAATTTCAAACAGCAAATATTAAAAGTAGCTTATTACTTATATTTTTGGATAAACTACAATGCTTTTTTTATGAATGTATTTGAAAATATACCATTCAATCAGATAGGTTTTGGGGAAGAAAGTTATAGAATCATAGAATGATTTTCCTTGGAAGGGACCTTAAAAATCATCTAGTTCCAACCCGCTTGCCGTGGGCAGAGAACCTTGGTCTAGACAGGCTTGCTGAGGATTCCATCCAACATGGCCTTGAACACTTGCAGGAGTTGGGCATCCACAGCTTCTCTGTGCAACCTGTTCCAATGCTTCAATGCCCGCACAAGGATTTCTTCCTAATATCTGAACTAAACCTACTATCTTTTAATTTAAAGCAATTACCCCTTCTCTTCCCTCTACATGCCCTTTTAAAAAGTCCTCTCGGGTGTTCTTGTAGGCTCCCATCAGTTGCTAAAGGCCACAATAAGGTCGGCCTAGAGTATTCTGTTCTTCAGGCTGAACAACCCCAACTCTCTCAGGTTTTCTTATAGGAGAGGTGCTCTAGCCCTCTGATCTTGTTGATGGCCCTCCTCTGGACTTACTTCAATAGGTCTGTGCCCTTATGTTGGGGATCCCAGAGCTGGATGCAGCACTCCAGATGGGGTCTCACCAGAGCTTGTAGGGGGCCAGAATCACGTCCTTTGCCCTGCTGGCCACACTGCTTTTGATGCAGCCCAGGATACAATTGGCTTTCTGGGCTGCAAGTGCAAATTGCCAGGTCATGTCCAGCCTCTGATCCACTAGCACCTTCAAGTCCTTCTTGGCAGGGCTGCTCTTGAGCAGTTCATATCCCAGCCTGTATTGATACCAGGAGTTGCCCAGACCCAAGTGCACCACTCAGCTTGGTGTCATCTGCAAGCTTGATAAGGGTGCACTCCATCCCTTTTTCTGTGTCATTGATGAAGACATTTAATAGCACTGTTCACAGTTCCAACCCCCTGAAGGTCACCACTTGATGTCCATTGGAACTCTGAGCCATTGGCAATACCCTCTGGATGTAACCATCCAACCAGTTCCTTATTCACTGAACAGTCCACCCGTTTGAATCCATCTCTCTCCAATTTGGAGAGAAGGATATTGTGGGGGGACCATGTCAAAGACCTTACAGAAGTCCAGGTAGATGGCATCTGTAGCCCGTCCCTTGTTCAGTGATGTAGTGACTCCACTGTAGAAGTTATGAAGTACAGCAGATGTTTGTGCTATCTTGAAGATGGCAAAATGGCACCAAATTAATATTTTTGATTAATTGATATGAAATGTCAGTTCTTAGCTTACATAAACACAGAATCTGCTATCAAGTTATGTTGTTCTGTAGTCTGGCGAAGCAGATGTAATCAAAGAAAGGATTTTTCTTTAAAACAGATTAGTCCAAAAAGGAATCCTGTGGCAAATACCAACAGGAATATGTCTCTGTGTATGCAGTATGCTGTATGATCAGCCTCTGAATTAAGCCTTAAGCAGAATCCTTCATTCTCTCATATTTATACTCCAGTACAAGCTCTATTATGTTGTATTCCAATCTGTATCGCTTAGTAATGTGACAATACAAGTTGCTTAGGGACCGAGGACAAGCTCAGCACTTTGATCTGAGTAGCTTCCATTGTGATCTTAAAAGGTAGATGGTAAGTAATATTTTTGGGAAAGTTGTAAAATTTAACTTTTGTGAACAAGTAGTTGTGGTTGGTTCAACTTGACTGGCTGCCCAGCCAGTTTACCTGCTCTTTCACTCTCCTTCCTCAGCAGGGTGAGGGGAGAAAGCAAGACAGAAAGTCTGTAGCTCATGATGAACACAGAGAGATCACTTAGTAATTACTATCATGGGCAAAACAGGGTTGACTTGGGGAAGACTTACTGCCACATTGAATATCATGGTGAGAAACAAGGAGGAAAACTAAAAACACCTTTCCCCACCCTTCACTTCTTCCCAGACTAAACTTCCACTCCTTTATTCCCTGCTCTTGTACTTTCTCTGCCATGAATGGTGCAGGCGGGATAGGAAATGTTGGGTTGCAGGTTAGTTCATCACACCTATATCTATTCCATCCTCTTCACACTGTTCCCCTGCTCCTTCCCATGGGATACAATCATTCATAAATGCCTCAAATGCGTTCTCCGTTGGACTGCAGTTCTTCAAGAACTGCTCCAGTGTGGGGTACAGTCCTGCAGGAACAGACTGATTCAGTGTGGGTCCCCCAGAGATCCTGCCAGGTATCTGTGCTGGCTTGGAATCTCCACAAACTGCAGCTTCTTTCAGGGCTTATCTGCTTGGTCACAGCGTAGCATCCTGCATGGGATACAGGGTAGCCATCTGCTCCAACATGGTTCTCTCGACCGGCTGAAGGACGGTGTTCATTCCAGTGCCTGGAGCACCTTTTCCCGTTCCTTCACTGTGATGTCTGCAGGGCAGATGCACTCAGTTTTTTCCTCCTTGCTCATCTCTTGCAGTCAGTGCACACTGAGGTGGTTTTTTTTTTTTTTTACTCTTTTTTAAAATATTATTGTGTAGATGCCACCAGCTTTGCTAGCAGTTTCAGCTTTAGGCAGCCCCGGCTTCCTGTCACAGAACTCGTGAGTCTCTAAAAAGTTGAATTCAAGGGAACCTTGTGTATTTATTCTCTGCTTCTGTGGGAAAATATGAATATGGAGTCTCGAGCACTTATTTCATTAGATGAAGCAAAACACTTATGTCAAATACAAGTTTACAAATCTTAAAAATAAAAAGGGGCTAGGAGTGCTTGTAGTGATTTGTATTTGGTGGTTTAAATGGAAAAGAAGTAACTCATGTCATGATTATCTGTTCAAAGATATTAAGTATTGTAGCATAGTCTGAATCAAGAGACAAATTACAGAGCTGTTCTTAAGAACTTACTGGGGATTTTTCCCAAAGGTGTAGATGAAGTAGGAGGATTGACAGTCAGTGGGTAAACTTTTTGTACCAAAACCGGAGACTTGAGTTTCTCCTGAGCTATGTTAGTAGCATTAGTAAGGTTGTACTCTGATCTTGTAATCTGAATGTTTGTTTAGTCCAAGGGTCACAAGTAGGTCAGCATCAAGAGCTGTCTATGAGAAGCTGAGTTAGTGAGACTGCCATGGTAAACTGGCAGGTTTTGACAGGGCAGGATAAGAATCACACAATCATAGAATATCTTGTGTGGAACAGAACCCACAAGGGTCATCACGTCCAACACCTGGCCCTGCACAGGACAGCCCCAAGAATTACACCATGTGCCTTAGAGCATTGTCCAAATGGACAGAGGTTAATGAGAGATCTCCCACTCACCTCTTTTTTTTCTGATCTGCCCTCTTTGCCTCAGGATGCCTTTGCTAGCACAACAGTTATATTTATAGTCAGGTTGAGGGTTGAGATGTTTGCATAAGATAGGCTCAAAGTTAACAATACAATATTTAGGACAAAAATGTGTTAATGAAGAATAGCTATTCACTATTTAAGAGTTTTTTTCTCTTTCTCTTACAGTTTGAGGGTGGCTCTGGTTATGGTAAGTGTTTATGTAAAACTGTTACATGTACTTCATTACATAGTTACTAAAGGGCTTGATGCATACACTTAAATCAGATTATTCTTATGCAGGGGGGCGCGGTTCATATGGAGATCTTGGTGGACCCATCATCACAACACAAGTAACGATTCCCAAAGATGTAAGTAAATTTGACTTGCTTTCAACTCATGCTTTTTCTTAAAAAAAAAAAAAAGTCACAGTTATTTCTTAGACTACTGAAGTGAATCAGAAGTACTTAGAGTGCTTGATAAGTACTTCTAATACAAAACAAGTGTTTCCAAATCACCAAGAGTATTCTTGGATTGGTTTGTATCTTCAGAGACTCAGTAAACAATTTTACTAAGAGTTAATACTCAGTAATAGAGATGGACTGTGTAACGTGTTTTTTACAAATGAGCAGCTGGTTCTCCCAGTTTTATCCTATTTGTGTTTATACAATTAATACTGCAGGGGATGTTTTTAGGCTGTAAAGAAGTAAGCTTCCATTCAAACTCTTAAAACTGAATTTGTAGAAACTACTTAAATGCTACTGGGATTTTCTAACTTGTTTTAGAAAGAAAGTTGTATTGGGAAATGAATTTTTTGCTTTCTTCCCTAGTTGGCAGGATCTATTATTGGAAAGGGAGGCCAGAGAATCAAACAAATACGTCATGAGTCAGGAGCTTCAATCAAAATTGATGAACCATTAGAAGGCTCAGAAGATCGGATAATAACTATCACAGGAACACAGGACCAGATACAAAATGCACAATATTTGCTGCAGAACAGGCAAGTTAACGTTTAATATTCTCTCGACTGTCAGTTTTAAATTTACGTGTACATTATAAAACTGCTCTGTGAATCAATTTTTTAAGAAGGCAGGTTTTAAGTAACTATTTGAAGCTAACTTCTCCAGTGCTAGTTCTGCCTTGATTTTCTTCTGTTCTCCATTCTAATTAAAATGAAGACACCCTCAAAACTAATCTTGCTGGAAGACACCTTAACCAAGCAGTCCTCTCCTTTCTCTGGTGAAAACTGCTGCAAAAAAAGTACTTGTAATAAATTATATAGAGCCTGTAGAAAATATAGAAGATTTCAGTGGATGTTGGCCTAGTTCTGTGTGGAAGACTAGTGATTTTGTTGTTTTTAGATAACTAAATTGACAACAAATCACAGTCTGCCATATGGCACAGACCATGCCTCTACAGGACAAGTTGAAATCGATTTGGTGCTGTTATGCAGCATTTCACACCTTGCTGACATTACTTTGCCTTTTCTACCAAATATTAACAGCTTCAGATAACATTTGCTTTATTAACTTCTGGCTGTCCTAGTAGATTTTAATGTTTTAACTGGAATGTTTGGCTTTAGAGTATTAATATTTAAATGTACCATAAATATACTAATACAATTATTAGCCATTGATATTTTAGAATTATATAATTATTCACTTTTAAATGTGTTAGGAATTTGTAATTTAATCTGCTCTAAAAATGTCATTATGAATATTGATGCAAGATGTATGGTCCATCATTCTAATACATGCTTTTTTCTTTTTCTTTTATAGTGTGAAGCAGTATGCAGATGTTGAAGGATTCTAATGCAAGATTATTTTTTCTTTTTTATAGTGTGAAGCAGTATTCTGGAAAGTTTTTCTAAGACTAGTGAAGAACTGAAGGAGTCCTGCACCCCTATTTTTTTTTTTTTAATCTGCTTCTGTTTAAAAAGCCAACATTCCTCTGCTTCATAGGTGTTCTGCATTTGAGGTGTAGTGGAATCTTTACTGTCCACCAGATGTAATGTTTTAGTTCCTTACAAATACATGGGGGGAGGGAGCACGAGACTAACACTGAAATTTTGAAGCAGCAGAGAGATTGAATTCTATTTTTGTTCATCGTTGGTGGTAAATTGTAATGTTTTTCTGTAATTGTTGTGTACACCCTGCTTTTATGTACACTGTGTCTTATTTTAAAGGGGGATGAATTCTGGTAGGCCACATGTCCCTGGTATCTGTTGAGAGCAGTGTGCAGAATGTAATGCTTTTTTGTAAGAAACATTTTAGGATTTTTAAATAAATTTAGTGAACCTATTCTTGGTGGTCATTTTTCTTCAGGTCTACATAAGATAATAACTAAAATGAATACACCTAGTTTGGTTGGGTTTTTTTCCCCATATGAATTAAAGTTGCTGTTAAGCTTGCTCTTCAGCTTCCTTGATATAGATGGAGTTATGTGGGTTTTTTTGACAAAAAAGAAATTGTGTGAAAACAATGACTGCTTTGCTGTTTGGGGGGAAAAAAAAAGTTAAAATATTCACACAGATGTGTAAAACTTGACATTTTTGCAAGTGTTTGGCCCTCTTTGCAGTACATATATATATTGGTGACAGTATATAAATAAAATATTTAAAAACTTTGTGATGTCACTGAGTAAACAGTGGTAAAGTACACCTGGTTATAGACAGCTTGCTTAATGCAGATAACACTGTTAGAAATGACAGTTGCTCTACCATTTCTGAATAAATTATAGCTGTTTCCTGAGCTTTTTTTTGTATGAGGTAGAAATTGCAAATTGGCAAATTAACAGTATCTAACTCTGTAACTTGTAATTGTATGCAAAACTTAAACTTGTTTGGTTTCCCAGATGTATGTTGAATTCCATAAGAATTATTTGTGAGAAATTTTAAAAAAACATATAAAGCCTCTAGATATCTCATGTAATACCTTGGCATTTGTATTTATAGTTAAAGGTTTTAATTTCACTTCCTGAATAAAAACAGATTAAAAAATGTAGAAGTGTGTTGCACATATGGATATGATGGGTCCAGACTAAGCCTGGGTTCTTTTGTGTTTTGTTATTTTGGTGGTTGGGAATTTTTTTTCCGCCCATGGTTTGTCGGAGCATTGGTTAAGCTTGGCCTTTTTAGAGCAGCTACTCATTAAATGGAATGGTTAAGGCAAGGAGCTAAGACATTGCGTGCAAGGCTGGCCTACTTGGCAGAGCTGTAACAAACCTGTAGAAAGTATACAGTGCCATCAGCCTTGTGTGTTGTCAGAAGGAAGGCAGCTGGCACCTGGCTGATTAACCAACGAACCTTAATTAAGAGGGAGAAGTCTACAATCGAGGCAAAGGTTTTGGGCGAAATGCGAGTGAACTGGAACAGTTGCCGAATTTTGTGTGCCTCCAGCTTGCATATGTACGGACGAGTGGGGTTGTGAGTGGTCGTTAGTTTGGTGCTGTCCTGTTTTAATTCGGGAGGAAAGCTCAGCAAGTATCAACACGCAAACTTTTGTTCGAAGCAGAGGCTGTATCCTGCTGCAGCCGGGCAGGGTTGCGGGGGCCGATCCCGATGCTCCCCAGGTGCCGGCCCCGGCGCTCCTGCCCCTCCGGGCTCTGTGCGCGCCCCGCGCGCGGGAGCCGCCCGGGCCCGCCCCGTCCGCGCCTGCGCACGGCCGTGCGCCTCGCGGGGTGGGGGTGGAGCGGGGCCGCGATCTGGGTAGGCCGGCAGGCCTCGGCGGGGCTGGTTGGGCGGCGTGCGCGTCCTGCCCGCATGGGAGGGTTTCCCGTCCCCCCTGGAGTCTGCCAAGTTCATCGCCGACCACAGCAAAGATGTCTCCGTGGACGAGGAGGGGGCGCGGCGGGTGGCGGAGAGCCTGTTGACAAAGCCTCGCGCCGTGGAGTTCGGGGTGGCGGGGTGGAAGAGTCTCCACGAGCTGAACCCCCGCGCCGCCGACAAGGAGGCAGTGGACTGGGTGTTCCTGGTGGACACTCTCAACTTCTCCTTCTGGTCCGAGCAAGAGGAGCAGAAGTACTTGGTGAAGTACAAGGATAAAATCTACAGCGGCTACTGGTCCCTCTGCGCCGCCGTCAACAGGGCCCTGGACGAGGGTCAGTGAGTGCCGGGGGAGCGGGGCCGGGCCGGGGGCACCGGGGCGAGGGCGATAGAAGCCGAGCGTCGAGGGTAGAACTAAGGAGGCGCCTCGGAAGCGGGACCCGCTGTTGTGAAGTGCTGCTCGCTGTTTCGATAGCGCTGTATGTGCGGGCCGTCCCGTAGAGCTCCGGGGAGGTAACTGGAAACGCTTCTAAAACATCCTCTTAGTGAAGCTACCTAACTCGTTGCTCTGGGTTATCTCTTCCATTCGAAAGATTTCTAAGGATTGGCAGTAGTCAGCTGTGGGTGACTTCACGTATGTTCTTAGGATAAATTGTATGTTTCCATGACAAATAAAAAAATGAGGCATAAACTGAGAATCGTCTGGACTAATCTGATACCAGAGCAGCTCCAGTGAGTCTGAAAACTCATATGCCTCTAAAACCAATATTTTAAAGTTTTGTAGTTTAGCACTTTAGCACTCACTCTGGTTGCTGTCCTCAGAAAAGAAAAAAAAAATCTGTTTGTAGGTATAAATGAAAGTTTTAATTAATTTTCTGCATGGTTGGTTGTAAATTGAGGGGGCATTAGCATTAAGACATTTTTGTAAATGCACAACGGGATTAGGATGCAGGGGAAAACAGGCCTATGCTGACTGCTCTAGCTGTGTTACTGACTATATTTGCCAGCGTGCTACGTAAACACCGTACTCAAAATACAAAGACTAAGCAGCCGGGAAAAATTATGTACAAAAAATAAGAAAGGGTCCATGGTTGCCTGCTGGAAATGGTTCTCTATAGAAGCAAGCATTGTGGCACTCACAAATTTTGTTTTGAGCAGCTTTGTGAGTGCGATTATCACTGAAAACTAAGGTGATTGTAAGAGTTGATAAGACTTTTTAGATCTTCCTGTACAAGCGCTTTCATCTGTAGCAGACCACTGTGCTAGGTCCCGGGATATGTTACGATAGCCTAAACATCTCATTTTAACTTTTCTGAAGGAATACCTATCACCAGTGCATCATATTTTGCCACCATGACGCTTGAACAACTGAGGCATGTATTTCGCTCTGACACAGAAGTGCCTATACCTTTGATTGAAGAAAGACATCGGGTGCTGAACGAAAGTGGAATAGTTCTGTTAGAGAAGTTTGGAGGATCTTTCCTTACCTGTGTTAAAATGAGTGAGAAGAGTGCTCAGAAACTACTACATCTCGTACTGAAAAATTTTCCTTCTTACAGAGATGAAGCTGTATTTGAGGTAAGCTACTTCTAAAGCTCTGAAAACAAAATCATGCAATTTAGTAACAGTAAAAGAGTCTTGGATAGTCTGCAACTAGACAGGACAGGAGTCACTGAGTCACTTTTTTTCCCACCAGAAGACTGCCTTTTTTTTTCATATGCTCTCTGTCTTCATTACTTTGTTGTAATTTATTTTTATATACTCCAGGTTCCCAGTTAGATCACGCCTCCTGTGTACTCCTTAGAAGTGGATGGTATTTGAGATAATTCCTGCCTGAAAAATCAAAATATTTTTTCCTTTCTTCTCCTTCCCTTGAATTGCAGCCAACCCTCCTCCCCCCATCTTCTTTCTTCTTTTACCTTGAAGTTTTCCACAGCTAATGAAGAAAATTAAACTGGTAGAATTAATGTACAGCTACTGGGACTCCACCCTCTAACTGTTGTTGATTCAACAGGCTTTACACAAATGAGTACAGGTTAGAAGTAACTCATGCTTTTATCCATGTTGACAGTACACTGAAGATTTTTGGAGCTGTTTTCCTGAAAGAAACTGATGGGAAGTAAACAGAGTCCATCTGGTATTTTCTGTCTCCCAGTTTCTCCTATACAGATCTGCATTTAGCATCTGTGACATAAGTAGCTGCTCCTGTGCTCAGCTGCATGTGCAGTTGTATTCAGCTGTTATATTATTAAGTCCAAAAGACTTTATTTTAGTAACAGTGCAGCCTATACTAATAGTCTGTGCAGTCGTTTTAAAGTAGCTCCTTGGAATACCAGTCACTGGAGCTTGGAACTTGTCGCATTTACTATCCTTTAGTAGGTGGCATGATTTTATTTTCCTTTGTCTCCTGCTATGAAGTAAGATATGCTTACATGAAAAATCAGAGGTTCTTTCTATTTAATCTTTGAAGCTATTAGTTTAGTTAATTTGGGGGGTTTTTTTACATATTAAGTAATATTTTAACAATTTTTATGATCAAAAAGGAAATATTTTACACGTAAAGTGATAGAGTATTTTCTTATCTTTATAGTGACTGTATTCACTGATGTTATGTCTTTCGTGAGATGATGACGAATGCTTTATAAAGCAAGCCTCCCTAAAAGCAGCAGCAGACTACAGAATGAAAAGGTGTTCCAAAAATGACCCTAGATCGTAAGCACTGACACAGCAATAAAGCCAGTTGCATGAATATGGAAGCTATTCTTCTGCTTTCAGTAAGCAAGATCTGTATTTTGAAGGTGGTGACATGGGTCACATTTTCAACGTCATTTCTATGGCAGCAGGTTGAGGTCTCACAAGTAAGACTTTGTGTTCAGTAAAGGGTTAGGAGGGAACTAGAAAGATGGTGAGATATCCAAGAGCAAACCAGTGCTTTTCAGTAACTCTACACAGTAGAAGTATACATAATTATAAAATAAATTATACATTAGAATTATACTGTCACAGACTGCTACAACTGTCCTAAGTTCTAACCTTCTAGGGGAACTTCTAAAATAAACACAATTATTTGGCTATATGTTTTTCCAAACACATAGACAACATATTTTTCAAAATTATGTGTCTAATTATAGAAATTGCCCATGTTTGTTTCTTCTGAAAAAGGAAATGCAAACCACAACCTAAATCTCCAAAACATTTTTTTCTCTTTGGGTGGATAGTTCATATTTAGATGGTGTGCTGCATTTGATTCCCAACAGAAGTTTAAATTTTAGACTACTTTATACTCATATTATCAGGGGTTTTGTTCTGACAAAGACATAGTGGAGTCTTTTTTGATCTTCCAGTCATTGACATTTCATGTATTTATCTTTTATTTGCCATCACCTGGGACCGCACTTGTAAAATTCTCATGATCTTCACATTCTTTGCTGTTTTTCTTCACTAGCCGCACTATCACATTTTGCTCTTTGCCAACACAGTACTCCTCCCTTCCTTTAATATCAGTAGGCCATAATAGATGTATCCCTTGATACTAGC